TATAAAAATAAAAATTATTTCTTATTAAAATTATAAATTTTTACATAGAGAGAAAATTTTAATTTTTATTATATTTTATTAGTAAATTTAGCTCCTGAGTCATTACTTTTGATTACCACTATATATATTTTATAATTTTATGTAATTTTATATAAATATTAAATAAAAAATAAAGACTTATATCAAAAATAAAATTTTTAGAAAATTATATTAAAATTTTTATTATAAATATAACTTAAAAAAGTTTTTTATAATATATTTTTATATTATTAAGTAAAAATAATATAATATATAAATTTAAAATTTAAAATAATTTGATTTTATTTTATTAAATAATAATTAAAAATATAAAATTTATTAAAATTTAAATTTTTGTAACTATATATTATTATATATTTATTAGAATTTAGTTATATTTCATAATTTAATATATTTTTTTATTATTAATAATTTTTATTAATATATATTTATTTATTAATAAATAAGTTAAAAAGTTTTTATATAAATAACTTGATAAGATATATAATTTTATATAATTATTTAATATAAAATTTTATATTATTTTATATCTATATTTAATATAACTTTTAAAAAAAAAAAACTAAATATTTCTTAATATATAGTAACAATCAAAAATAATATAATACTTAAATTTTTTACTAATTATAATTAGTAAAAAATTTAAGCGTTACATTATTTTTAATTATTACTGTATATAAATTATTAATACTTAAAAAGTGAGTTTAAATCTTAGAAAAATCTCTTAAATATTTAATTATTCTTATATTATTACTTAAAATATTATTAAGACTTATAAAATTATAAAATTATTAAGTTTTCTTCTTGAAAAAAAAGATAAAAAATAATATTAGAAAGAAATAAATATACTTTATTAAAAATTATTAAAAAGAATAGAAAATTAATACTTTCAAATAGAATTTTTAATTTATATTAAACAAATTTACTATTTATTTATATCTTTAAGAAATTAAAAATAGTTTTATTTATTTAATTTTAATAATTATTTCTAAAAAAAACTTATTAAAAAAGAATTTTATCAATCTGATTACTTTTATTATATGAATATTAGAAAGTCTTATATAAATAAAAAAAATAGAAAAAAAGACTGAATTAAACTAAGAAGAAGAAAAACTAGAAAAATAAATAGAAAAAAATTATATAGAATAATAAATTATATTTGGATAATAAAAGACTGATATAATGATAATTAATAAAAAAGTTTAATACAAATTATCTTATTCTAACACATAAATCAGGATAAGAATATGAGATTACTTCTATAAAAATGAACTTAATCTATTAATAAGATTAGATGGAAGAGTTAATTCTTGAGATATATTAATCTCTTGTAAGATAAACTTTTATCATATTTGAATACTCTTAAAAATAAGGAAAAATTTATTTTTTCAAGAGGATAATGCTTCCATTCACACATCAAGATTAAGTAATGAATGAAAGAGTAGGAATAATCTAACTAGTCTTCATTGGTCATCTCAAAGTTCTGATCTAAATTCCATTGAACATTTATGAAATGCTCTAGAAAGAAAGATTAGGACATACAATCCCTTACCAAAAAATAAGAAGAAGCTTTGGCAAATATTGCAAAAAGAATGGTTACAAATAGATAATAACATAATTCAGTCCCTAGTTGATAGTATGTCCAAACGAGCTGCTGCTGTAATAGGAAGTAAAGGGTATCCCACTAAATATTAATAAAATTGGATACTGTCCTATGATATAGCTGCTCATTCAATGAAATCGATACCAAATAATCTCAAATTTTAAATTTATATATTTTGAAATATAAAGATTGTTTTTACTTAATAACGCGAGGACGCATTGCAGTTAGCTTTTTTGAGTTACATTAAACGAAAGGTTTAACGTAATTTTCCGAAAATCTTTATCTTTGACGTAAGCCTTTGTTTTCATTCAATATTTATACAAAGTTGCTCAAAGTTATAAAACGTATGTAGGTGGATATCATGATTAAGTTTACTTATCGCACCATGGCCGGTTGTGTTAGTAAAAAGTTTAGTTTACATATGGACTACTTTTAACGTTTGATCGGTGGTGATCGGTCATTTCTGTCTGCGCCAATAATATTTCACAAAAAATACTATATATAGGTCGAAAACATGTCTATCACTTTGCTTTGCCTCGTTAAAGGAAATACAATCGCGAACGCTTTTCCTGTTCGCATAGATGGAAATAGTCTTGTTGGTGACCTCAAGGAGGCTATAAAGGCGAAAAAACAAAATGACTTTGCTGCAGACAAGCTCAAGCTATGGAAGGTAGAAATCCCTGGCGATCACGACGATCTCTTAAGCAATCTGACAGTGACGAGCTATTGGCAATAAATGATATAGGAGACTACTGGCCTACATCACCACCTAAAAGGCATATCCATGTCATAGTCGAGCCACCCGTACCAACAACCACTTCGAATCGTGAACAGGTTGCCTCATTGCAGGCATTGCTAAACAAGTCTGTCTACGGTACGTTTAAAATAATGGGAAGGGTGGAGAGACTTCATGAGATTTTTACTAACCCAACTGTTTTATTGTAGAGTTCGACGTTGTTGTTAGCCTGAAGCGAACAAAGGGATTCAAGTGGACTGTAAATATCGACCATGCAACCTCGAGAATCTTAGAAATGATATATTTGCCGTGTTCAAGACACCTGCTTTGGAAAATCCGGCCGTGGTATTTAACATCATGAATGATGGGGATAGATATTCGCCTAGGAACGATGTTTCATTTCGGGAGATATTGCGGTTGCTAATATCAAAGAGTAGCCTTAAGTTCACTGTGTTCATTGAAACTCCTTCAAAGCCATTCAACGAATGGACATTCCCAAAAGTGTGAGAACTCTATGGACTTAGCGATAATCCTAATCCAAGCATTGATGTGTACCCCGTTTTTAAATGCGGTTGTGTTGACATGAAGGATGAGAAATATCAAGAATCGTTGCGAAAACTTTTCGACGAGTTGGAAACCCGCATTGCTACAACCCCCCACCATTGACTTATCTTACGAGGTCTCGAAAAGTATCTATTCCTATACTTACCTCGCATCTGCAGTCTACCCGTTCAAAAGTCAAATAAAAATCGTACCAGAGAGAACAATCGAGGGTAAGAATGGACAGGGAAATCTTGACTATGGAATGGAATCACGCACAACTGGGAGAATAATTAGCTTAGTCGAGGTCAAAAAAGATGACTTCAAACAGGACTTCGCACAAGCTACCGTGCAGATGGAATCATCCCTAACATGTCGTAAACGAAAAGCAAACGAAATAGAAGACTAGCATGATGTAGATAAAGTATGGGGGATTGTAACAGATGCTGAAAAATGGTATTTCATGGAATGTTCGTTAGACGACGAGGGGAACCCGTTTTTTAAGTTATCGAAACCTCTCACCGTTGTTTATGAAGACGCGGATATGAAAATCAAAGCAGAAAAAATCCTTGGTCATATCATCTGGTTGTTGGAGGAGGTACAGAAACCAGTGGAAGTTCCACAAGATGGAGATCAATCAAGGGTATTAAAAAGCATAGGTCATTGAGTAATCTCGTAGAAGAGTCGGGTTAGATTAGACAAAAAAATATCACATGTATCTAGATATGTATTTTATATTGTATTGTATAGCAGAGCTAGTGTCTAAAGACACATTAATAAAGCAATCAGACCTAAAGGGTCGCTTTTTATTCCGATAATTAATTTTTGTGGAAGGGGGGTTTTTTATTTGGCTTAGCGTAAGCTAGCCTCCTGGCTAATCACCATCTGATTCATCAAGATCGCTATCTAAGAATATAATTCCTATTAATGACAAGAGTCGATAATAACGACCAATGTGCTATAAAAACAGGTAGGAAACTCGTTACTTGGTTTTATCATTCCTCGTCCAACCTCAAAGCCCTTGCATATAATATCTTAAAAATTACTGGAGAAAGCACTGACCAAGATATAGAAATCCCGAAATGCTCAACCTGTACCAAAGATATTTTAGCAGTTGCTTATTAAAGCATTTACAATACTCGAATGTGGACATATATTTCACAGAGTTTGTATCGAGAAAAAAATCATGTATACAGTACCGAGTATATGCCCTTTTTCCGGCTGTGGTAAAAACGTTGATATTGTCGATGAAGGTTCAAGACGAGACTCTACATCTTCTCAAACGAGTGGCACATCGACTCTAGTTGGAGAATTTAACCGTAATATTGAGATTAATTCGCCAAGAATTTCCTCCCAGGGTCAAGCTATGGATATGAAGAAACGAAACATCATGTCGAAGAATCATCAAATACAACTTCTATCCTACCACATAAGCGTATTGATGAACCTATCTCTGCTGACTCTTCTTCCAACAAAAAATCAGCTAAAAAAGAAGACTCATCGACATTGAAAAAACCAATCAAAGAATTGATAACTTCTCAAAAAACCTCATCTAGTAATACTATTATTTTACAGTCAGACGTTTTCGAAATGATAAAGATTCAGTTAATTTTCGTGAATTATATGATAAGATTACTAATGCTGAAGATAATTTACCCATGATCTGATTTATTGTCACTATGATTCGGGAAAGGTATTAAATTATGGTTTGATCATTATAGAAAAATATGTAGTGAAGATGCGTCTAATGCAAGAGTTAACGATAAAATTAGGGAACAGATTTCTACGCAAGATAAACTTACCGAGACCGATCTTCGAAAAAGAAAAGAAAGAGCTAAAAAGATATTTAAACTTTTTAATAATATTGGTGGAAAGGAAATAATAGGTCGGATTAAAATTTTTAATGCAACAACGATTTTAAATTTATCTCAGGATGATGTTGATTATGTAATTAGCAAAATTTTAGAAATGACTCTCACATAGCTTTACCTAGATAATAACGTCAATTTCCTTCGAGTATAAATAGCTACTGTGTAACTACCTTCGGCAATAAGTTTTTTTACTGCGTCATATATGCATTGTCAAATATATGTGTCAGAGTCACGAGACTTCATCTCTACCTATCTGATTAATTTAACTCTCGAAAAGCTGTTTAATCTAAGTTTATTTTTTTCCTATATAATTATAGCGAGCTATAGTGTCTTTGACACATATGAATAAAGATCTTCCTCGGTTGAGTCGCGTTAAAATTCTTGTGATGATCAATTAATTAATGTGGTTAACGATCAACCGGAGGCTAATAAACTCAATGTTCCACATTATCAGTTGGTTTGCTTTTTATTCTTTTGACGCAATTTTATCTCTTTCTGTAAATTTAATGGAGTATCAAACCTTAACCGAATTGCAAGTGGATCGTCTTTAGGCTTATCCAATATTCTCTCCCTTGCGTAGATAACTATTAATAACCATTGATGCACCTTTTACGTTATCTGTATATCGTCCAGCAATCTTTGCAATTTGGCACTTTTTTTTATATGTAATACTGTAAAACGTAACATTTATTAAATATCTTGATGTAATCAAGGCCTCTGGCTGATAAAGTTTACATAACGAGTTTTGTTAATGTGTATAAATGCGAGTAGTTTGAATGTGATCTATTTTTTTATTGTTTAGTAGATCGCGTGATTCAATTATGATTGGTGTGCGATTCCCGATACGCGCCTGTAACGTGATCATAAGAGTTGCGAACTGATCGGCTTGAAGTAAAAAAATTTTTTCACTCTAAAACACAGATGACTTCCGTAACTACTACACTTAATTTTTACTGGATTACTCCGGTCCACGAATGGACGTGTGCCAACTTAGTGGACTATTACCGCAAGAAAAACATATACGAACTATCAAAAATTCTTGACAGTGTAAAAAAATCTTACGAAGATGACAGATGTCGAGTTTGGATTTGATGTAACACATACTCAATAATTGGAAGATAGGTTTACAGTTAATGTTAGACTTTAGTTCATAGTAAGAAATTGGGAAGGGCTTGAACTCTTAGTTTAGAGTGATAATCTCAACTCTTGATTCGAGTGTAATGAATTCTTAACTTGAACTTCTTTTTATTTTCTTGAAAGACTAAACTCTTAGTTTAGTAATAATCTTAATTCTTGGTTTAAGTATAGTGAACTCTTAGCTCAAACTTCTTTTTTATTTTCTTGGGAGGCTGAACTCTTAGTTTAGTGATAATCTTAACTCTTGATTCAAGTTCTTAGCTCAAACTTCTTTTTATTTTTTTGAAAGGCTGAATTTTTAGTTTAGTGATAATTTTAAATCTTGATTCAAGTATGATAGGCTCTTAGCTTGAACTTCTTTTATTTTCTTGAAAGGCTGAAGTCTTAATTTAGTAATAATCTTAATTCTTAATTCAAGTATAATGGGCTCTTAGCTCAAACTTCTTTATATTTTCTTGGAAGATTAAATTCTTAATTTAGTAGTAACTTAGCTCTTGATTCAAGTATGATGAACTCTTAGCTTGAACTTCTTTTTATTTTCTTGAAAGATTGAACTCTTAATTTAGTAATAATCTTAACTCTTGATTCAAGTATGATAGACTCTTAGCTCAAACTTCTTTTTATTTTCTTGAAAGACTGAACTCTTAGTTTAGTAATAATTTTAATGCTTAGTTCAAGTATGGTGAGCTCTTAGCTTAAACTTTTTTTTATTTTCTTAAAAGGCTGAATTCTTAATTTAGTAGTAATCTTAACTCTTGATTCAAGTATAATGGATTCTTAGCTTAAACTTCTTTTTATTTTCTTGGAAGGCTGAATTTTTAGTTTAATAGTAATCTTAATACTTGGCTCAAGTATAATAGGCTCTTAGCTAGCTTGAAACTCTCTTTATATATTTTAGTTAAAAACTTTTATAGTGAAATAATTTACTAATATATATTTTATTTTGTCAAGAATTAGATTATATTAATGAAGAATATATATAAATTGCAGATCAAGTTAATGTATTGCAGAAATAATTTGTCAGCAATAGTCGAAAATATTCTTTAGAGAATGATAAGCAAATGAATGAAGAAGAATTGATAAAGAAGACAAGAATTGAGACTGAAGTGAAGAATATAAATTTTAATAAAAATCTTGCTTGTGATAAGAATAAGCTTGGATGATCGATTTAATTACTTCTATGGATCTTTATAAAATAATATCACCCATCAGATAATAACAATAAACATATGTTAATCTTAATTATTTACTTCTGCTATTAATTTTCATAAACTCGTGATTCCAAAATCTCGTGAAACACGTGTTTATTTTAATGACGCGTATCAATTATGAAATAAAATCTTCGCGTTCTTTGAATACCTCTTTATCTCGTCGACGATATTTTAATATTCTTGAAAAAAATGAAAACGGATTTTTTTCCAAGTGTTCAGAATGGAAAATCGTGAATTTTCTAAAATTTCGTCGTGAAGAAGGAACCTGGACCGCTGATAAAACAAAAGAACACAATACAGTTAGACCTCTCTAAGTGCACGCACTATATAACTCCTCTCTAAATGCACGGTATATTCTGATCCCTATCTTATAAGAGCTCTATATATTTTGACCTCTATAAATGCACACCCTCCCTAAATGCACACTTATTATTTTTTTTACTATGGTCCCAAGGGGGGTGCACTTAAGGAGGTGTAACTGTATATATACTCGGCACTTACGTTTGATACAATCTAGCGATTCGGAACAACAATCCATGGCAACTTCCGCCTTGAATTCCTTCACGGCTGAGTGATACAAATAAATTATTTCTGTGAGGTAAAGGTGGGCTTGAGAACGTAGCTCATCGTTGCAGACGTTCCCAAGTTGACCATTCGTGTTATACCACATCACAACGCCTCAGATTATTTCTGTAATCGCTGATAAACCATTCGTGTTATACCGCATCACAATGCTTCAGATTATTTCTGTAATCGTTGATAAACCATTCGTGTTTCGATGCTGGCCACCTTTACCTAGTTGCCATAACTTCACAATTTGTATTGATGATATATCCGATATGATGAAACATTCGTGTTAACTATACAAATAAGCATTTTTGCATTAGAACGAGTTAAGTGAAAGACTTCTGGCAAGGTGTGGTAGATATCGATAGGCGAACAAAAATTATTAGGAAGAAGGCAAGTGTGCTGAAGGATATTTCGGAATATAATAGGAAAAAAATTTAGTAAGCTCTTATGCCTCTTTCTAGGCGAATTTCCTTGATAATCTTGAGGAGTCTACATATGATGTGTTAGATGCCACAGGAACAAATATTATTGAAGATATCAAAAACGAGACTGTAAAGCGTAAGGCAATTACAATAATCCATTTTTCGTACTACAAAAGCGCACAAAGCTAAATGATGAATCATCCAGTGATGAAAGCTGGAAACTTGAGAATGAGAACGAGAGTACCGAAGAGGATGACGAGAGTATAAAAAATCAAAGATCGAAGCAAAAGTTATTTTGTTTTGTGGGGGCAGGCGAGATAGATATGAATATATCTAACATTCAAAAGATGGTAATGTATTTTGATAGTAAATAAGTGTAATATTAGACCGACAAGAATAATATATATTTATTCTATTAATATAGTGGATATTGGATGAGGTCAATATATCGGACATCTTTTTCCGATTTCATCAATCATCAGTCACAAAAGCATCAAACGGGAGCATTGAAACGGCGAGTGAGATATTGTAAACCTTTATAAATGAATTGAACGCTTAATATTGATACTATTGCTTACATGATTATTATAGGGCACTTAATTACAATCTTCTTGATGCAAGACTGGTCAAGTTATTGACAGCCAACTCTGGAATAATGCCATCCAACAAGTCTATAAAGAATATCGGGATCAATGGTGAATCTTGTGAAGATTCATTCGTCCACAAAGTGTTCTCACCTGTCATCCCGTTTGGTAATTTTTTTATCATATAACCTTTTTACAATAATACGAGTTACTTTATTTTCCGCATGAATTACGAAATTCTTGACTCATCTACACATCGCAAAAAGAAGTTTGATCCTTCATTAGAAGGAAGGGAACCTGATTTTGAAGTCCATACCATTATTAATAAAAAAAAGAGCATTTGCTTATTGTTGAAATCAAACCTGCAGACCGCGCATCATCAAATAAGGATACATTGAATGATCTTGTGAAGCTTGGCAATGAGTTAAAAGACTGCATCGACAAAATGATTGATGACGGTATTTATGAAAATGCTCCTGTCTGTGGAATATTAGTTAAAGGCAAGTAATTTATTGTTATGAATTTTCAATGGTTTAACGACAAGTTAATCTAGGGTTCAAATGTACTTTGTATATGATGGATCTTCAATATGATGCACTATATCGAATGATATCTTTTACTTGCGCATGATTTTTGTGTTATTTATGATTCTTTGACGGTATTACTTTATGCACGGGTAATTATTTATCTAAAGCAGTAAATAACAAGTCCTCATAATTTCATTGTTAATAGGGTATCGTTAAACAATCAACCACCTGTTGTCTTGCTCACTTTCGTAGGCGACATCCTTCCTCTTACCAGACATCACTTAATCGTACACAAATGACAAGGCCCTCATTCCATACGCCTATAAAAGTTCCGCCTCAAAATGTAAGTTTCGTTCTTATTTCCCATAATCACAAAATAAAAGAATTAATAACATTTTCTCCCAATCTCATTACAAGTGGGAAACTTTAAATCAAAATTTAAAAAATCAATGCAAGTCACCCTCTGCACGAGAATAGAGATAGTGAAATCTGTACTTTAGAAAAGCAAACTGATTTTGCCATTGATGCTGATAAAACATTTAAGGTCGGAATGCTGACCTTGCAATACATATATAATACATAAAGACAATAAAAAAAATAAATAACAATAATCGAATAAAAACTTTGTGAAGATTAATGCAAAGTATCATTGTTGGTAAAGGAATTCGAACATATTTGCTTGGCAAGCATTATTCAATCCAAAATTTCAATAATAGTGAAACTTTCTCTAATGCAAACTTGTTTTTAACATACCTCCCATAGCAAGTTGCATTTAAAGATGGTTTCATAAATTACCAAACTAATGATGTCTGTTTCTTATAATTAACCCGTAAATTTAATTAACAAAAAAGCTATTATGAAGGGAATGGTTTATGCAATTCTCATTTTTAATGATTTTGCAGCGTCAGCAACTTTGAATAAATTTTATTTATTTTTAAATCACAATAACGTTAAAGTTTATCGTGATATTAATTTTAAAGTCACAGATCTATGCAAATCTTTTACAGATAGCGGAATTTCAGTTAGCAAATCAGTGACTTTTAAATTTTTCTGATATAATCTATTACAGAGCGTTGAGGTTAGAGAACAGTAATAATAAAAAAGTATAAAGAATTTTTATTAGTACCTCGAATTAAACAAAATATTTTGTGACTATTTTCGTTTTTTCTCTGGGAAAACAGGCGGTGCTTGTAACTTTGCTTTCCTCATGGCTTTCGCTTGCCCAGCTGTGAAGCCGCCACTTTCGCGTTCTTCTTTTGTCAGTTTGTCAACGCGACATCCTAAAGACTTAAGGAGGTCGGTTACTCTTCGAATATAAAATAAAGAAAGATTAATTAGTCAAACAGAAAACAAATGTCTATTCAAATAATGAAATCACCTTGCCTACTTTATTTTGCTGATACATAAGTCATTTGCTAAGATAGCCGGATCAAGGACGTAATTATCCAACATAAGACACAGTACAAACATATAGCAGTATAACTTGTTTTGTAATACTGGCGTCATTTTTTGACTGTTTTTGTAATCTTAAGAATTAGAGTTCACCTTTTTTTTTTAATTAATCAATAAAACATGCGTTACTTACAGGGCATTCTTTTTACGTATCACTGTTTCCGTATACCTCTTATACAGATTATCGATAATCACTGATGGTGGATTATACAAGCCACTGGCAACCACTGCGCGTCTTTCAATATTCTTCTGATGTGAACTGAAATTCATCAAATACGAGATGTAGATCAAAATTTGCATTTGGCGCTGCGTTTGTTGGTCGAATTTAAATTTCCAATATTCTGACAAATGTGATGTGATATACTTTGAAGAACTTTTTAAAAAAATTTCTAAAGTCAATGATATACATTGAAGAAGTCATTCTTGAAAATCAATAGAAAGACATACTTATACGGCAATGCTTGCAATGCCTCTTCCAAGGTCGTAGCGTCCAGAATCCGTTTGAGGCATGTTGAATTCAGCTCATTTATCGTTACAATATCCTCGAGTTTATAGACGTTGGCTGGTTCTGTCGCTTGCATGTTATATGGAGGAATATTTCGATTCGCTTGAATTTCACTTTGAATTTGCTCTAATTTTTCAAAGATGGGTAAAAATTCGGGTCAAAAATTTAATTCATTATTATTATTATTTTTAAGTAATCGGGAATATATACCCATAGTCGGCAACGTTTTTAATTTATCTTCGATATTTTGCATTATGGAATTCTGAGTAGAATTTGCCACCATATCAACATGTACAGCATTTTTTTCGTCGTCGTTAATACGCTGTATAGTCTTTTTAGAACCGAACGTCCTGCCAAGATCCGCTTTGGCCTCTTGATACTTTTAAAAAGGAATGATTACTTATGCATAACTAAAGCCAAAGACTTTGTTATAAAACGTTACATAGATGCAATACACACGCTCTTTATCGGCGGAGGTTCTGGTTCTTTCACATGTTTCCTCTTCTTTATAACACGAGAAAAGTTGAACACCGGAACTTCTTTTAATGTCACAGTTCTAGTTCTTTTATCGTATAATCCCACCAAGTATCTAATTCAAAAAAAAAAAGTTAAAAAGGTTAAGGATGAATAACGAGAAAGATGTGTAATATAATAATTATAAACTCACTTGTAATATCCATACATGTCTTCCAAATCCTCCTTTCTATTGATTTCTTTATAATTAACTCCTTTCAATTCGACATAATTAGTCTCGCCATGCAAAATTTTCTGTTTCATTAGTTTGGCATCCTTTGCTTGTGAGCGTACATACAACTTGTATTCCGTTTCTTTGGGTGGTAGGACTCCTGGGAACCAGGCTAACTCATATAGAGATATATATATTCATGAATACGGCTCTTAGTTCGTTGACTTATAAGAGAATATGTATACCTAGAGCAGGGCCGCCGTCGTCTTTTGACCTATCTAACGATAATCTCACTTCTTCCTCAGCTTCCTCACGTTGTCGTTTTTTACCTTTTGAACTATCTAAAAGATCAAAGTAATACGTGTGAAAAAAATATTCCTCAAGATATAAATTTAAAAAAAAAACAGAAAAGAATAGTCACTAGCGTCATTTGTGTTGTTTTGTTTGCTATCGCTAGAGAGACTAGAGCTACTGTCAGAATCACTCATCTTTTATGATGATGCTCAAGAGAAAATAATGGTAATTTTTTTGGTAAAGGAGAAAATATCATTGGCTTATCGATAATTGATGAACATCATCTAATCGGAAATTTTTCAACTTTGTTATCGTTATAATGAGTAATAACAAAACAGGTGAAGCAAAAAATGGCATATTTGTAATTTTAATGAATGAATTAAATAATACATAATAATATTATTGCTAAATTACTATGTTATAAATGAAAAGCAATCCTATCTGTATACGATAAGACTGGTCTCATTGACTTAGCCTCCGAGCTACACAACTTGAACGTGAGGCTCCTCGGTTCGGGTGGCACAGCGAAAAAGATACGTGATGCTGGGGTGCCTATCGCGTATGTTATTATAATTGCATACAACCGTGAATTTTTGATTTGATTATAAAAAAAATCATCTAAAAAATTTGTAACATGTAATAATAAAAATTAGTGATGTTTCAGAGATCACAAATGCGCCCGAGATTTTAGGAGGACGCGTCAAAACATTGCATCCAGCTGTACACGGTGGCATGTATTTTTACATTCCTTTGCCCAATTTTATAAAATGAAATAATGCAAATCATGCATCTATAAATCAGGAATCCTTGCACGCAATATTGAAAGCGATGAAAAAGATCTTGCTGCTCAAAAAATACAAAAAATCGATTTTGTAATATGTAACCTGTACCCATTCAAAGAAACCATCAATAAAGAAGGAATTACTGTTCAAGACGCGGTTGAGGAAATAGATATTGGTTTGTATATAAAAAATAAATTAAATATCCGTTATTTTGTTATATCATTGTTACTAATTAACAATTTATAAAAAAGGCGGCGTAACTTTATTACGAGCCGCGGCAAAAAATCACGAAAGAGTAACAGTTCTCTCTGATCCGAAAGACTATGCTAAATTCTTGGCGGAATTGAAAACTGCGGGAGGTGAGATTTCAGAGAGTACTCGCAAATCTTTTGCACTAAAGGTATTGTGATTGACTGATTGGATGCTTATTTACTATTTATTTATGATTTTTTTTTATATTGAACAATCTTGTATATTAATTTATTAATTACAGGCATTCAATCACACAGCTGAATATGATGACACAATTGCAAATTACTTTCGACAACAATACGAGAAAGATATCTCGCAGATTACATTGCGATATGGAGCTAATCCACATCAGAAACCTGCGCAGGTTTTTGTAAAAAGTGGGCAGCTGCCGATACAAGGTTAGTATTATTTCAGATAATTCGAATTATTGTGCTATGTAATTGTATAATAACTAAATAATTGTGTGTATAGTATTAGCTGGTGCACCTGGCTACATCAATTTACTTGACGCCTTGAATGGGTGGCCACTAGTAAAGGTTTGTATCTCAAGAGATTATATATTCATATTGTTGTTTTTGTATTTATTTTCACCTCAAATAACATCAATAGGATCCTTTTTACGAATTGATACAATTATTTTCTCTGGTAAATATTAAACAAACTAGGAACTAAAAAAAGCGTTATCCCTTCCAGCAGCAGCATCCTTCAAACACGTATCACCAGCTGGTGCGGCCGTCGGTCTTCCATTAAGTGATATCGAAAAAAAAGTCTTTTTTGTTGATGATTTAAAAGAGTTATCACCTTTGGCTATTGCGTATGCTCGTGCTAGAGGTATGTAATACGGAATTTTACTACCTATAAAGGTTCCTGTTTTTGATTTCTTTGAGTGTGAGGTGGTTGGATAGAACATGAAATGGTGGCTTAGAATTCTCTTGTAAAAAAAATACATAAAGGTGCTGATAGAATGTCTTCTTTCGGGGATTGGGTTGCACTCAGCGACACTGTGGACGTTTCAACTGCAAAAATTATATCGCGCGAGGTAATAATTTGTTTTATTTACTATTTTCGATTGCCATTAATAATACTATCGATCTGTTAATCCCCAACTTAGGTTTCTGATGGTGTAATCGCCCCAGGATATGATCCTGAAGCACTAGAGATCCTACGAAAAAAAAAAGGTGGAAAATATACTATTATACAGGTAATAATATTAATTTATATCATAAAAATCTTTTTCATAATTTACAAAACAAAAAAATATTTATGTTCACTTCATATATAGATAGATCCTGAATATGATCCTCCAGAACTGGAAACGCGTCAAGTATACGGATTATATCTACAGCAAAAGAGAAACGATGTCGTTATCACACCACAAATATTCGAAAATATCGTGAGCCAAAACAAAAATGTTTGTATTAAAAAAAAATATAATACTTTAACAAATATTTGACATAATTAACCAATATCACATTGACAAGAAAGCTTCCTGAATCCGCGCTTCGAGATTTAATTGTGGCCACGATTGCTCTCAAATACACACAGTCGAATTCGGTTTGTTACGCGAAAAACGGGATGGTCGTTGGCCTCGGGGCTGGGCAACAATCGCGTATTCATTGTACGCGTCTTGCCGGCGACAAAACAGATAACTTGTGGCTTAGACATCATCCCAAAGTGTTGGGGTTTGATTTCAAGAAGGAGGCAAAACGAGCCGATAAGAGTAATGCCATCGACCTTTACATTCTTGACAAGATTGGAGAGGTCTGTAATTATTTTTAATATGTGCATTTATTTTTAATGTGGATTTTATTTTACATAATGTTTAATAAATAGGGCCAAGAAAGAATTTCATGGGAATCCAATTTCAACACGATCCCTCAACCATTAACACCCGAAGAACGTAAATCTCATCTCGCGTCTTTATCTGGCGTTGCACTCTCATCTGACGCCTTTTTCCCATTCTCTGATAATATTCATCGAGCACATCAATCCGGGGTCTCGTATATCGCTGCTCCTAGCGGCTCTGTTCAGGATGAGGCCGTTATCAAAGCAACGGATGAACATAATATACTTTTTATACATACGAATGTTCGACTTTTCCACCATTAATGCATATACCCGTCTATCCATGAAAAAATGGGAATATTTAAATTTAACTTTTTTGCTTAATAAACTTCAGGGTAGTAAATTAACCAACTCCTTATTGTCCAAAATGAAAAACAATAGTATATTGCAAGCTTAGATTTCAAACGCTAATATCAAGTCATAATTTAAACTAGGCAAATTTATTTTAATGAATACTTTTTTATTATACTTTGTGTAGCACAAAGATTTCACAATAAAAATATAATTTTTGACATCCGAATATTTTGATATCCCGGCGTCATTGTTTAGAATAATTAGTTATGTATAATTTACAGCCCAAAAGCTTTTACTCAGACGACATATCCTTGGAATCTTCATCTTTATCTTGATGCATCGAATCATTTTGATCCACCTCGTCATCCTGTTGTTCGTCGCTTTCTTCCTCGCTTGGTTGGTAATCATCATCTGAACTTTCACTTGTGTCAACCTCCTTTTAAATACAAAAAAGTATTGTGTTATTTGTACATTTCTTTATGTGTATAAAGTGTATACATAATAAAAAATTGTACCATATTATTCTTTGTTGTTCCTTCATTTTCATATGTTTCCATGTTTTGATCATTATCATCTTCGCCGTCGTCGTCATCTTCGCTTTCAACATAAATTGTTTTTGCCGAATTTGCGGCATTACCATCCGAAAATCTCTCAGCGGCATATTGTTGCCGCATTGATATTTGTTGCATGATCATTTCAAGGCGTCCATGAAAGGTTAGAAGCTTGTTGAATTCTTGTAAACGCGTTTCCAAGACTTGATAAAAATTCGAGAGTTTTTTAATTAAATCTGGTACCTAACCAAAAAAAAATAATGAGATAAATGAGAATTAAGGATAAACTGTGCATTTGTGATCTGTTTGTCGATTGAAAATGGCGAAAAATACTAATTTTTATCATTCTCGATGTTAGCGAAAATATTTAGCATCTTTTGTTGTAAATTGGAAAACATTATTTTTGAAGAACTAAATTTTACTTGAAATCTAAATTTATGTCATTTCGAAGACCAACGTCAATTTTGACAGATACGTAGTTGTAAATTCAAGTATTATGTAAATCAATTAATACGTTATCCCCAAAATCAATAGCAAATTTTAGATCCACATCAGTATCACGAATTAAAGAGAATAATGTAAAACATTAAAACAAACCGTCATCAAATAAGCAGTATGCTCCAGTAAAACATGTTTCATCCACGTTAAAATTCCTATTTCCGGATTCAGTTTCGTTTGAAAATTCTCTACGATCTTTTCTATTAGTGGAATTACGTATTCTGCAGGTAATTTTCTCACGGTATTTTTTATGACATCCGGTTTTGATTCGTGCAGAATTTTAATTAACATGGCGTTGTCGTCAGAATGTAAAGCTTGTATCAGTACATTTTGTAATGAATTTGCATCAATTCTTGCGAACTCGGAACCAGCCTTAGGGATTGTTGTAGGTTTATTTGAACGTGTTTGGGTACGAGTTATATTATTAATTGCTTCCGGAGAGACGGATTTCTGCAAAAATGAATATAATTAAAATGACAATCAATCGGCTAAAGTTATAAATTGATTGGACAAATACTTTATTCGGTGGTGTCTCGTCAAGTTTATTAGCGATGGAAAGCTTTGGTAAACCGATATTTGAGCTTGCTAAGATATTAACATTTGACTCATCATATTGTTTCTGGGTTACTTTCTTGTTTTATCATCAAATAAAAATTAATCTTAATTAATTTATAAATGACTTTTTCCACAATACTAATAATTGAAATTACCAAATTCGCTGTAACCAAATTGGATTCTTCCAGTAGAAGACCGGTTTGTGGTGATCTCATTAATTTTATTTCGGAAGGTAAAGATAATGATTTTTTACTAATTCGTTCTTTATCAAGATCCTATACAATTGCAAATTTTGAACATCATAATTATCGATAATCGAATCATGAGATTAAGACTCACATACCACAATATCAAATATCGGTTTCACAGTGCTTCCTCTTGCAATAACAATAGAAGGTAATTTGTTTCCTTTTTTCTCAATGAAAAAGGCACTAAGAATTGGTATTATTTCTTTTTTATCTTCGCTCAGGACTTTTACAACGCATGTAGGTGAATGAGTATCAGAATGATTTTTTTTCTTGTCCGGCGAGGAAGAATGATTCTTTACTGTGCTATTATCGAAAAGATACATGATTCCGTCCTCAGAAATTACGAGGAGAATGTCTTTTGATGATATTGAAACACTCATGATATTTGAATCTATTATTAAAGCTTTATTTCCAGAAATAAGTGGGATTAGAAATTTTTTAATCTGCATGGATATTTATTTTAATTCTATATATATATGTATAATTTTTACTTGCCAATTGCATTTACATTTCCTTCAACATTTTCTTGGCAATCCCATACATTGACGTAACGATCATGCTCAGCGGCTGATATACACATATTATCTGACTCCGTAAACATTATATTGTTAATTAGACTCGCATGCCCAGTGTAATTTCTAATCACCTTCTTAGACTGTAAGTCCCATAACTGTATCGTGTATCCGGTAGTGATTAATTTTGATTGACTGTGAGACAGTGCGAGCTTCTTGATAACTTTTGAATCGGCCTTCCATTTACTATGTAGATATTTGGAATGGTTCGGTAAGCAATTTGAAAAGTCGGCCTCAATTGGAAGATGACGATGATAACAATTCATCATGAGGCCCAAAAATGTCGTCATTATATTTATAGCTTTGTAGAGGAATAGTTTTGTTGAGACGCTAAAAATCGCGTATTGTTGATTTATTAGTTATAGTCCTCACCTAACAACACTTCTTTCTTCAATATTCCATTCGACGATTGAAAGATCATCGGAACATGAGAAACCTCTCTTTCCATCTCTTGTAAAAACAAAATCATTTATTGGCATTGTATGAGCTCCCTCTAAATTACTTATTATTTTGCCATGAGAAAGTGAGTATATTGCAATTGATCCATTTTGTAGACCAAGCGCAAGGATTTTTAATCTGTTTGATGTGATCGGTTTATTATTTTTGATCGGCTTCGTTGGAGACAACCCCTATCAATCAATGAATTGAGTGAAAAATTGATATTAATTCGAATGAATCCTTTTTTTTTTTTCTACTTACAGGTTCGTCATTTACTTCTTCACCCGAGGAAAGCTCGCCCCAAGTTAAACAAGTAAATTTGTCTTCTTTCTCGGAAAAAAAGTCATTCTTCAGTACTCCGGTGATTCGATCAAATACTCGTAGACGATGCCGGTCTACACTAGGGGTGACAAGTGCAAAGTAATCACCACTAATAGAATCAAATTTTCCCGGCGGATTTTTGAAGATTAAAGAGTCATCAACATTAATTATTTCTCTTGATGCGAAGTTTGCTTTCTTAGTTTTTGGGCCGCGTTTTTTGGTCATTATGAAAGTACCGAGAAAATAAAAAAATTCTTTGAATCTAATCTATCAGCTCTGTTGAACTTACATAATTCATGCGGGAATCAGCATAATGCGAGCCAGAATTAACGATAACATGCTAAATTGCACCATTAAATTCACATATTTGACCGATCATGTGATGTTTCAAATGATTGAAATTTTTGTGACTGTATGCATCGTCCAATTTAGATTTTTCGCATTTTTCATTTTCTTGCAACAAAAAATTTTATAAACTCTTATCTGCTTTGAGGTTAAATTAAATAACAAAGTTTTTACAGGGGTTGGGCGCGAGGTGAGATAATTTTGTAATTAATCAACGGTGAAAAGAAATTTCTAATAACACGAGAAAACGGATTTTTGGTATGCGTTTTTTTGGCGCAGTTTTTAAGTAAGTTCGCGTGATTGTGATTGGGTGATAGCATTAATTTGAAAAGAGTCACGAGTATTCCGAAAAAATATAAGTATCTGTCACGTCACGTGTGAAAATTTGCAATTACGAGAATCTTCTCGTCCGAAGATGCTTTTAAGCAAATACAGTCCGCACGGAATGTATGACGGACAGTTTTTTTTTAAAAATAAATAATAAAATAATCATATATAAAAATTTATTTTTAGAATCTTATAAACAGGGCTTTATACCCTTAAAATATTTGCATTCAACATACCTTCTTCTCTATCAATGCTAATTTGAGTGCAGTTTGGCATAAGGTCAAAATGGACTTTTTTTTCGAAAAATAACCATATATTATGTGACTTTATTGAATCATAACAAAATGCATATTGCATACTGCGCCATAAAATTTCATGAAAATTTTTTCAAAGAGGGCTTTATATGAAGAGCCAAAAAGTAAATAATTGAAAGTTGAGTATTTTTCGTAAAGATAAATATGATATCATTTACAAGATTCCAGACCTCGGAGTGATAAAGGAGGATGAATATTCCGTTCTGGTGACAAACAGGAAAAATATAGCATATGTCAGCATAAAATCAAAAGACGATTTATTATGTCTCATGCACATTTCAGCAGACGCATACTGTCCCCATTTACATTCCGTGCGGACTGTAAGTCTAGAAAACAATGTAAAATAAGTAAAAAAGAATGTGGAACAATTCGGGAAACATTTTTGAGTGGATATGTTCCGAAATACATTGTCATGGCGAAGATGACATGAGTTTTTTGAAAGCTGTTCATATGCGTCTGTTTCTCTTGTTTGTCGCCGTACCAAGAAATGAATATTGTTAGCGACGACATTATTATTGCATGCTAAAATATTTCCTTTGCGAGCTCTTAAACCTGTCTTCTCTTTAATTGATTATAAAGTATATACTTCTATAATTACGCTGAAGCTAGGTCTATTGCTACGAATGTTATATTATTTTGGCTTTTAATACAATCAATGGGATTGAATTTAGACCAACTTTGATAAAATATATCCGCATGGAATGTAATGGCAGTTAGTTTTTTAAAATTCAGGTACAAGTTTAAAGACAATTACATAAAAAAAGTTATCTCTAAAAAATCCCATGTTAATGCAGATTTGAATGCAATTTGACATGTTAAAAAAAATCATAAGAACTTTTCACAATTTTATTTTGTAAAATAATAAATATTGTTTCTAATACAATTCTTTAGGCAAGACTCAAATTTTGCGTAATCGCGAGTCAATTCAATGATCGACCCTATATTATCAAAATTCTGCCCAGACCGGGATATGTATTGTGGTTTTCAATACATTTCGAAATAGAGGTTCATAGAAATGCCATGTATTTTCCCATCTTTTAAATGAGCCCCATGCGGACTGTATTAATTACACAATAAAAAAGTCTGTTTTCAAACAAAGTTTCTTTCTGGAATGATTATTTCGAATTTTTAGATTTTCAAAAAAACTGGATTTTCCTAAATTTGAAGAATGGTTACGCGTAATTATTGTTTTTGATCATTTGTGTAAGAAACTAAACAAGGTAATAATTAAATGAAACCAAATTTTTTTCTTTCAAGTGCAAGCTATCAAATATGTATATGTTGCGCCTCAGATCGCTTCTTGCGTCAGATGTTGCTTGGCAAAATTAGAATGAGTTATACTAAAGTGAGAGTTAAGGACACGAAAAATCCCATTTTATTGCGAAATTGAATTTTTTTAATCTTATATATTAATTACCATTATTACAAATAAACATTAAAACGACGTTCTACTACGTGATGAAATTGCAGCGCATATCGATATATATAAATTCCCTTTTATGTCATTTTTTTTCAAGTTCTGTTTTATACCGATATCTATGTATCTGAATGTTTCCGGGTCCCTGCATCTGAAGCACAACATATATAAGGAGCCTTTTTATAGCGAAAACGAACTTTTTATCAATAGAACAGTCGGTTCGTTACATACAGAGTTGATTGTATATTAAATAATTTGGCTCTCAGTATCCTTGACATCTCCAACGGTTTACTATTATAACACCCCAAATAACAAGCTTTATTTAGTACTTAACATTCTTTCGGTTTTTCAATTTGTACCTCATTCCGTCCACTTTTTATCGTCATCAAAACCTTTACGATACATTCAAGCAATTCATCTTCTAAATTCAAAGACTTAATTCTCCACAGGATCCTTTAAATTTTCTCTGCTGTATCTGAACAATCTTATCTTCGTCGAATCTTTGCTTTTAATTAAAGAACATTTTCGCTTCAAGTTTGGCTGTCGAGGCACGATACTTCTTTTTCCCGCTTCCGTTTCCAAGATAAAAGCATTTTTTGTCCTCATAAATAATGAAGTAACGGCAAGCTATTCCATATCAAATTAGATAAAAGTCAAAAAGAAAACGAGCAACTTGTCAAATAATAACGATAAATTTTAACTGCCCATCTTTTTTTACGACTTTCCCCTGATAGAAACTACTGTCGTTAAATAATTTTTGGGATTAGTTCTTTTTCAGTAATTATATATCCCTCGCCGCCTTGAAATTAATAAAATAACACATGATGGAAGAGAAAGAATTATTGAGCAGTAATTATTTAGCCAAGAATGTTATAATTAACAATACTTGTTACATTACAAGAAGTCATCCTAGAGAGGATCCACAAGGATGCTATGTCTTAAACAAGAATTCTACCGAATCTTTCAATGGTCTTGCCAATTTAAATTTGTCTGATCCATATCGAGATAAGGATGAAGACCTGATGGATCCAGGATTTTGCGTCAATCTTTGTACCAACTTTCTTTTTAAATATGCTGCTCTCGGAAATGGAACAGACTGTCGTTGTGGAACAGATGATAGTCTCACAGCCTATACTAAACTCAATGACACTGATTCATTAAACTATTGCAATATCACTTGTGTTGGCAATACGACTGATATATGTGGAGGGAAAGAAGCTTATACTGTTTATGACATCACAAATGAATTACCAAGTTATAAGGTGCCTACAATAGCTAATGATGAGAAACTTGCCTTAATTCATAATCTTAGTAATAACTCGAGGTATATTGGATGTATCCAAGATAGTCCTCTTTGTGATCAAAGAATATTAAACGGAACATTTCAAAAACTTCCTGATATGACAGTTGATAAGTGCATAGACTCTTGCGGGAAAGATGGCTTCAAATATGCGGGATTAGAAATAGGAGATGAATGTTATTGCGCTATGACTTACAAACCTGGAATTGAGTTAAAACCAGAGGAATGTAGCTCTAGCTGTCCAGGCAATAATTTCCAATTATGTGGAGGTCCTTTATCTCTTAGTATTTATGAAGTTCCTCAAATGACTCCAACACCCTCTCATGCTTTAATGCTAGGTTTGAGTCTTGGGCTGGGAATACCAGTATTACTCTTACTGGTTGTCCTAGTGTGGCGATTTTGCCATCGGAAACGAGTGAACGCAAATAAAAACGAGGATTTCATAATTCGTGATGATACCATGTATGTTGTGGATTGAAAGAAGTTTATTATGAAAATATTTTAAATGTAAGAAATATAGAAAAAAATGGCGGACCATGTGATCACAACCAAATTGTACAAATGCCATTTGATAGACATCGTAGTCTTTTTTTCCAGTGTATATTGTAATTTTCTAAAGCACTAATGTTGTTCTGTATCAACAAATTTTTTAATTCTGGCAAGATAATATATATTTAGTATTATTACATTGCTTTTGCAAGAATTTATGTCAGAAAAAATGATGTCTTCGAATAACATTATATAAAAAATGTTTCATATATAAAATAAATGATATTCTTTTCATGTCTTATTTTCTTTTTCCCACCTCAATAATATTAAAAAATTTTTCTTAGAATATCCGAAGCAAGAAATTAAGCAATTTATTCGAAGAGCGATCCTATAAATTCAAGTTCTATTTAAGAAAAAATATTTACTAGAAATCAAAGTATCGGTATATAAACAAAGATGTATATATACAGTGGCGCTCAAAAGTATTGCATCACCCGGACGATAAATTTCACGATTTAATAACGTTTCATATACAATATCAATCAATATATAAATAGGCTCATTATAATGCCTATATATGGACGAAACATCGTATCATATTTATTTTTCATATCGCACATCTAAAAAAAAATAAACCACATTTTACATCAAATCAAGCGATCCGTTTTTTTGATAAATAAAAGTAAAATCGAAATTACTCACTAAACTAAATAAATTTATGAAAATTTAACCCCCAAATTTAATTATCACCTAGTATAGCCACCCTTCGCATTAATTACATCTTGAATGCATTCTTCCATACTTTCAATTAGCTTAATTAAAAATGCGTTATCAATTTTGATCCAAATTTTTTGTATCGCATCCCAGAGTTGATCTTGAGTATGGATACCAGTTGATGACATTCTCAAACGATGATCTATTTCATTCCAGAGATGCTCAATTGAGTTAAGATCAGGTGATTGGGCAGGCCAATTGAGCAAACAGATATCATTATCATCAAACCATTCGTATGTAAATTTTGCCGTGTGTTTCAGATCATTGTCTTGTTGTAAGACAACATCATTTTTATTAATTTCATACCACTGGATTGTTCCTAAAAGGTCATCATTTAAGATTTTGTGATATAAATTCTTATCCATATGACCATAAATGCGTATGATATTACCAATGCTGAAAAATCCAAAGCAATCCCAAACCATTATATTCCCATCCCCAAATTTTACTGTAGATTTTACGTGATACTCTTTCAAAGGTTCATTATCACATTTCCAGTAATATTCACGTCTGTCTGAATTAAAAATCATAAATTTTGATTCATCCAACCAGATGACTTTGCTTCAATCATTAATAGTCCAATGATGATACTTTTTCACAAATTTTAAACATTGAATTCAATGTGTTTTTTTGAGATTTGGTTTTTTTCACTTAATTTGTGAAGAAAGACCATTACGATGTAAAGTTCACTTTATTGTGCTTGTGTCAACATCAATTTTATCATCAGTTTTTAATTTTTTTTGGATAGATGTTGCAGTGGGAAAATTACCATTCAAAATTAGACATATAATATTTTGTTCATCATGTCCAGTAAAAATTCTAGGATGACCTGGTTTTGATAAATCTTTAAAGGTATTATGAGTATCTTTTTTTTACTTTATTCTTATAATGGAGGATTGGGAAATATTTTCATAATTTGCAATATAATGAGAAGAATTTCCTTCTTTAAGAAGGGTATAAGTTTGGAATCTTTTTTTGATGGAAATATGTGCCATAATAATTTTAATTATATGAGATAAAAGAGTAAATTCATAAGTGTATTTTATTTATAGGAGGTGTATTTTGTTTTGTTGTGTGTTTTTTATCCATTTATATATTTGTTTTGAGAGGGAAAATGATCAAAAGAAATGCATTATCAGTTTGGCATAATAAAGTTCAAGTTAAGCAAAGTGATGTTACATTTATTCTTTAAATTGTATGTATTATTTATTTATGCTTTTAACTATATAAGAGCTAAATTTTATTTACCCATGGCATCTATATTGCTAAAAATTTCATGATTCATTTTTTTATCCTAGTGATACATTACTTTTGAGTGCCACTGTATATCAATAAATATTATTATTTAATGATGTAGATTATTAAATATTATTATTTAATGGTATAAATTGTTAAATTAACTTATTTCATTAAATAACATTATTTAATAATTTTTATTATTAAATTAGAATATTCTTTATTATTAAAATGAAAATCTATTTAATAAAAATATTATTTTATTATTAATTAAATATAATTCTAATAATTCTCAGCTAATTGATTAATATTTTTGTCTTCATTACTAACTATATTCTCTGTAAATAAGTTATTTGTTGTGTGAAAATTATATGCTTCTTGTTAGATAGCATTATTATTTATATTATTATCATCTTCATTATCTTTAAGTTCTAATCTATTTTTTTTCATTAAATCTCTCATCTTTAATGATACTTATCAAGTTTTTATATATTAGATTTACATTTTTTTGATATATTTCCTAAAAGAAAATTAATATTAGTTGCAAAAGATTATATATAATATAAAGTAAAAGCTTACTTTATATTTCTCTATGCAGTATTATAATAAAGTTTTGCTTATTTCAATTGATAAATAATTTAGACTTAGAACTATATCATATATATTTACAATATATACATATTAATTAATAAATAATAGTTTTTCAATAAATTAAAAAGATAATATAAGTAATATACTTAATATTACTAGTACTATTATTTCTAAGTTAAAATAACTTATTATAATATTTGATCACTTTTAACAATATTTTCTATTTAGAAATTTTCTTGAAATTTTTTTGATTATTAATGAAAGATAAGTTATTTATTCCAAAAATATAAAAAATTACTTTCTTAATTATTATATCAGGAAATTTTTTGGAAAAATATTTATCAAGAATAATCATTATATTTGTAAAAATTAATAAATATCTCTAAAATATTAATATAAATCAATAACTTTGATAATCTTTAATAAATATCTATATTAATAATAATTAATCATTATTAATATATTATTTATTGATATATAATAATATATTAATCATTATTGCAATATATTATTTATTAATAATAAATGATATATATTAATAATTAACTTAAATACTTATTTTAAAATCAGTTTATTATATTAATATCAGTTTAGATTATATAATCTAAATGAATATACATATACTTATATCTTCAATTATTTTTAAGACTTAAAACTTCTAAAATACTTTTTATTTAATATTAAAAAATATATTTATTTAATAAATATTTA